GTAGTCCAGGCTGGCCTTGAGTTCACTTTGTAGCCCAGGCTGATCTTGAGCTTTCAGTGAACCTCCTGCCTCCTCCTCCTGAGTGCTAGGCTTACAGGTGTGTGCCACCATGCCCAAGCCGGGTATTAAATTTATTGCATCAGCAGAACTGAAAATGTGGTGTATTTTATGCATGTTAATAAAGGCATGACATGTTTTTGTTTTACAGAGAATGGAAATTGGAACTCAAAACACTCTTTGAATTCCAAAATAAGAATCAAAATATTTTGTAATTTTCATTTCAATTGTTAGGAGGACTGGAGCTATTATTTAGCCTATTTTCCACTACACTGTTTAACATAGCGCTGAGTAAATGCTGCCAGGTGTCAGTGGATGCGTGATCAACTAATAGCTCTGCTAGTAGTTAATTATTTTTCTTCAATAAAGTTTCATAAACAAAAAAGAAAGCCATCTTTGAGCTTGTGTGATTAACTGTTTCACTGAGGATTGTGTTAAGTTACCTAAAGATTTTTTTTTTTTTTAAGATTTTTTTTGGGGTGGGGTGCCAGGGAGATGGCCTAGTGGAATAAGCGCTTCCCTGGCAAGCTCAAGGGCCTGAGTTCAATCCCTGGTTCTGCCAAAAAAAATGGAAAAGACAAAAAATAAACAGGTAAATAAGATTTTTTAAAAACATATTTCTTTACTATAAAATTAAGCACTAAAGTTTTGATCCTTTCCTTTTTTTTTTTTAAAGATATTCCTACCAGGTAGTTCAGGATAGCCTTGAACTCCTGGAGATCCTCCTGGCTCTGCCTCCCCCAAGTACTAGATATAGGTGTACACCATCATACCCACTTTAATTTTTAAACACCGTTGGCCCTCCTGTCGGCGGCCTGCCAGTGGGAGAGTGGCGGGCTCGGCGTTCCGGGTCGTGTGGAAGAGGGGAGCTCATGTTCCTTGCGTGGGGCCAGCGTGGCCCCAGCCCGAGCCCGCTCAGAGCTAAGGACATACCCAGAAGCCAAGCCACGGACCCACCTGCACATAAAGAAAACTCCAAAGTTAAAGAACCTGTTAGCAGAGTAGAGAAGGCTAAGCAGAAATCAGCCCACCAAGAGCCGAAGCAGAGGCAGACAGCAGAGATCGGTGCCCTTAACAGCCAGCACGACTGGAGCAGCAGCGGCTTGCTGAGTTCTGTGAACAGACGCGGCCTCCCAGAGAGTGAGCCCGCTGGCTCCAGCCCTGGGGCTGCGCGGCCTGTCTGTGAGCCTGTTAGCAGTGTTGAGCGCAGAAGACCCGTGTGGAGCCTCACTGAGTTAGATAAGGCATTTGTGGGCAGCCCTGAGCCCACTGTAACTTCTGCTTCACGGTTCTTCCACTCTAAATTGTCCCAGTGTTTACTGAAGAGATCTATGAAGATAATAGGCCTCTTTTTTTTTTTTTTTACTTTTTCTATTATTTGAGAAAAATCAGTGTTTCTTAGGAAACCATGTATCTTCAAAAATGCAAATAAAATACTAATAAAATGAAAAAATTTAATAATTGGTCCAAATTCATAACTAAGTAGGACTTCAGGGTTTTTTATGAATCCATAAATGCTTTTTAAATCTATCTCTATGTGTTGCACTTTTTTAGTGCAAAATTTTAACTTTTGTGAACATGTCCATGTTTATTCCTTTTTAGGATTTACTAAAGAGGTGTAGCTCAAAGTCCACGTCCCTCTTCGACACAGCTTGGGAGGCCAAGGCTATGGCCGTTATTGGATGCTTGTCTGACACAGACGTGAGTAACCTTAGTGACCATCAGGTTTCCCATTTCAGCACTGGGCCTTGAAGACTTTTCTGAGCACAAAAGTGACATGTTTATTAAGAGTTTGTATAGCATGTAAAAGGAATAAAAAGAAAATAAAAAACACTTAATTTTTTCCCTTAATTTTACAAAAGAAAAAGTGAAACCAGGCCTGGTGGCGCACTCCT